AGTTCCTGTCTCTTCCCTCTGCCTTCTGGCTTGTAATGAAGCAGTAAAAATACCCTTGCCTAATGCTGGAAACTTGATCTTGGATTCCCAGCCTCCAGAACTAAGAGAAAACAAATTTCTGTTAATTATAAATTATCTAGCACCATATATTCTGGTATAGAAGTGCAAACATGGACTAACATAGTAGGACAAAAGCTAAACAGTATAGGAATTGATTTAATTTTAGCTATGATTAGAGTTTTTCTGATGGAGTCAAACTCATCAGTTAATAGTTGCTGGCCAAATAATAAATGAAAGTTTACAATTTGCAAGTCATTTCTAAGGGAAACTGACTTGCTGTTCTGACATTCATATTTTAAATGTATTTTGTATGTTAAAGTCTTCTTCCAGTCAGTGAAATTTTTTTTAAATAGCAGTAGAAATTTTATAAAATTTATATTATACATATACTATCATCAGTTTTACGCTCCTGGTTTATGTTATTTCAAGAGATGTGGAGTCCATCCAGAACCAGAACATCGTTCCCATTGTCCAGCCTAATGAAAATTCTTTTCCAGAATGTTCTAAGGTTATGGAGAATTAGCTTGCCCTTTCCCCAAGGCTTTAGGGAGCTAAGCTATATTTTAAGGAGATAACCAGTTGTGCACAATGAGAGGCTAGATCATCTATTGCTAACCACCTTCCCAAAATAAGCACTCCCAACGTACAACATATTAAATAGCTACTTCTGAAAACATGACATATACCATATTATGAAAATAGCTTACAAATAATTTTGACAAGTACCTGTTGATCACTATTTATGTGCCAGGTATTCTATTAAATGCTTAGCTATATTGGATCATAATCTATACAAATTTTCATGAATTTCTTTGGGTATTTAATTTTATAGAGTTTAACCAGGTGTTACCCTAAACTTTAGTAGTATTTCTATACAATTTTAAATATAGAATCAGAACCCATACTGAATTATACTAAGATATTGAAGTTGCTGGAACATGTTATTTAACATGTTCATCAAGCATAGATACTCTGTTTCCTAAATATCTAATTTGCACAAGTTTTCCGTTTGATAGAACCAGCGATGCTCTCAAAATTAACGTGAGGTTTTGGGGAAGTGCATACTCTGTTTTCCAACTTTCCCCAGATTCAGCAGCAGTTGCTGAATTTGTAGAAGATCTTATCTTCAGTCTTATTCCTACAAAGGCTAATGGCAGCTTTGTCTGCTCTGATAGGAAGCTCTTTATTTCTAACCTTGCTAGAGGCCATATACCTACAAAATAAACCCTGGCCTGGTCTGCTTTTCATAAGAGTGATGTATACTGCAAACATTATGGGTGTGTGATGGGTTTGTAAGGAACATCTAAGTTCTTTAGTGAATATATTAATTTTCTTCTCTCTCCCTCTCTCTCTCTTTTTCTTTCTCTCTCTCTCTCTCTCTGGGCTAGAGAGATGTTTTATGGTCCCTATTCCATGTGTTAAATGAGTCTACTCAAGTACTGAATTCCAGTCTCCTCTCATTACAATTCTGTAATTAAAAACTTTAAAAAGTTACATTTTCTTACCTAATCCTCAAAACACAGAGATGTGTTAAAGTCACAAATGCTCTAGAGCTATGCTGTTCAGTTTAGAAGCCACTAGGCACATGTCACTATTGAGCATATGAAATATGGCTAGTCCAAGTTATGTTATAACTGTTAAGATGTGTCAGAAGACCTAAATACATACCATACTTTCAAGACTTCATGTGGAAAAAAATATAAATTATGTCATTAATACATTTTGAAATGATATTTTGGACACATTAGGCTAAACCATATTATTAAAGTAATTTCACATTTATTTTTTAATGTGGCTATAAGCAATTAAAAATGAGATATATGGTTCCTATATTTGCATTAGACAGCACTGCCCTAAAAACTGCAAAGCCTCTGATACTGGAAAGAATATCAGCCTTTTTGTTTAGAATTACATGAGATACTTGAGTGCTTTTTGTTTGTGTTTGTTTGTTTTTTCATAAAATTTTTATATGTTGTGAACTAGATAAATAGAGACCAGATGGTTGCCTGAAAATTAGAAGCACAGTTGGCCTTGTACAGAAGCAAGCTAAAAGGGGTAATTAGACCAGAGTCAAAAGACTGAACAAAGTTAAAAGAAAAAAAAAAAAGAACAGGACCAAGGTAAATTAAATCAATGAAATTATATCAGTGTCTAGGATGATAACATGCAATGAGGGAGACAACAGTAGATACAGACAGGGAAGGACATGACAGTATGGGGATGTTCATAATGACAGGGCCGGATAACCCCATGCCTTAGGGGTGAGACAATAGGAAAGAAGTTAGGTAGAGCTGCTAAAATCAGTTACCTGATTACGGATCTTGGATCTATCTGGTCAAGATGTAACTCTCTTCCCATCCCTGAGAACCATACTGTGAAATAGACATTATAAATATAGTGAACTCCATTAAACTTGGATGGTCTTATTACAAACCATCATTGATGTGATGAGCTAAGTTCTTTGTTATTTCCACTGTGCCCATGAAGAAACTGAGGTTCAGAGTAACTTGTTGAAATTGCAAAGCTAGTAAGGGACAAAGTTAGATTTTAACACAGTTCTATTTTATTCTAAATCTCATTGTTATCTTTTGTGTTCTTCCTCCTCTTTAGAAGAAGATATGCTTTCTGCCTTTTAGTAGCTCTCTGCCTAATGAAGAAATATTTAATTTGTTATCGTAAATTTTAAATTATGTATGTGTTAAAATCTGGACTCAACATGTCCTTTTTGGTTTGTTTGCTGTGCTTTTAGAGACATGCAGGTTTGACTGTGTTATTTTAAAATGTGCTGGTATGGGAACTGTTCTAGTGTAATTTTTATTCAGAGAAGTTTGCTGCCTTGTCTTTGTGTAGCAACAGAAGATCTTAAAAGACCCATATGTGTGATCAGATTGGTCTAAGGAGCATTAACGGTGTCTGTGGTTTAGAGCAAAATGGTTCTTATTACGGTATTTGGGGTTGATTGCTCAGTTCACCAAATGAATTGCTTCAATTGTGTCTCTTCCTTGCTTTCTTTATTTTTTTTTTTGTCATTTCTGAGTTTATTTTGACCAGATTTTGTTCTCACTTTACCTGATCTTAATTACAAAGAACAGGGTCTAACTCAATTCTGTAATTTCATTATTTAACCTAGTACCCAGCACATAGGTGATGCATTGTCATCCATTTCTGATATTAATACAGTTCTATTCAGTGAGCTTTCAACAAATATAAATTGGGTACCTTTTTATGGGCTACCTCTACAGTTTACCTCTATGAGATATAATAATGCATATGGCCGCATGCCATTTTTATAATCTGGCGGAACACAGTTACACATCAATGTGATAAACCTTGCCTGCGTGTAAACACAGGGTCTTATGGAAACATCTTAGGAAGACACTTCACCGGGTTGGGTGAATGAATGTAAAGATTTCCACAGAAAGTGATATTTGAGCTGACAGCTGGAGGAAATCAGTAAGCAGGAAGAATGGGTTAGGGATCTGGTAGAAGAGGAAGGGCATTCCTAGCAGAAGGAAGAGGAGATATGGAAACATTGTAGATCTGCAATTTGTTCAGTCTCAGTTTGGTTGGAGGGTATAATTGGCAGACAGGAGAGTAACAGGAGTATGAAGAGGGAAGAGATTAAGAAAAAATGTTAATCAATGTTGAAGGAATCATTTTAAAAAGCAATACAATTCATTGTGAATTTTTGAGATGATTCATTTACAGTATAAATTTTGATCATTTTGTCTTAAATTTTTTTAATTCAAAAGATGGATTTCAACCTGATAATATTAGAGACTTCATATTCATATGCATATTTATCATATATCCACTTCATTAAAATTCTACAATCTGCCCCATACTTATCATTAGGGACATTTACCTCATGATAAATCGGCTTCATTAGTAGTGGTTTGAGGCATTATTATTTATTAATCTATGATGGTTATAAAGAATCTATTAATTCATTTATCCAGGAACAATTACATTAAATCCCCAATACTTTCTAATTCTTCTAATGAGGCAGAAAATAGTGCATTTTTTCTATTCTTTTAATGCTTGGTTGTTACTTTTAAATGAAGGCTAAAATTAATTAAATTTGTTAATTTGATCAATCAGTTTATACATTTGGCAGGACGCAATAGTTTTGAGTAAAAGGATTGCTTGATGATGCCTACGGAAACCCCTGTTTTAAGTCTCAGTCCTTTGGCAAATATATTGTTTTCTTTCATTGGTCAGTTAGGCTCTCTCTGCTTCATGTGATCAAACTTCAAAACTGGCATAACATCGTCTATGGGTGTGGCTTATAAGGATCAATGACTTAAACATAGTTCATAATGCTCCAAAAAATATATTAATTTATAACTGTATCTGAAATTTGATACTTTTTTGGGTGGTTTGAAAAAAAGGAGTTGTTAATAGACATTTAAATTTTTAAAAAAAATTAAATTTGTATATTAACTGCTAATGAACAAATTTCATCTGTAATATTGTTATGATAATTGAAGCAAACTACTTTGTGTCACAATACACTCTTTTCTCTTTGTACTTCATAAATCAATGATTCTTTATGTTTCTGAACACAAAAGTATGCCCCAGGGTAAAAGAATGATTTCTCATTTGCATTCCCATTTTCAGTCTTTATCACAAGTAATGCTCATTTTGCAGACTGCACCTGTACTATGTACACATGGAAATTAAGGTGAGCTTAAATAAATATAATTTTTATAAGTGACCTTTCTCTTGGGGTTAGAAGACTAATAAAAATATCAGCACTTCTCTTGCTTGATGGAGTTGAAAGGGAAATGGAGAGATTAATGAAGAGACTGACGGGCATTAGAACGAACAAATGGAGAAAGTTTCCTCTCGGGCTCCATTTCTCCCTCTATAAACATTTATTGGGCAGCTACTATAAAATCAAATATTGTAACAATGTCAGAAGGAAACAGTCGTTACATACACTCCTTTATTATTGTGAACTGAAACCAGATTTCAGAGTTTTAAAAATTATTCAAGAATATTCAGTGCATGAAGTCGTGAAATTTGATTGTAAAAGAGGTACGGGCATTTAGCCCTTCACTTAAACTGTGTCATAAAGCCAGTACAAGAGATTCACCTTCCCACCCTCACGTAATCTTTTTGCAATCACTGCTCGCAGGCCAACATTTGTTATGATTTCAGATTAGGAGCCTGGCATCTTTGCTTTAATCAAAACCTATTCTCCCTTCTCTGCTCCTCCACTCCTTACCTTAATGAGAATGTAAAACACTAGTTTTGCCGGGGAGAGAGGCAAGGAAGGAAGGAAGAGAAGAAGGAAGAGAGGGAGGAAAAGACTGGACACTGACCCAAAGAGGGAGCGAAATGAACTAAAGAGAGCGCTGTCCTTTTTTCTTGCGCTTGTTTTAGGCGCTCCCTGCCCGCCTCTCCCCGCCGACCGCGGAGCTGCACCTCTAGCTTGCTCGGCCCTCGGCCCCGCCCCCTAGCGTCGGAGCCCGGGAGCCTATCTCTTTAAATGACAGCTGAGGCTCGGGTCCCAGTCCGGGGCTTGACGTCAGTGCCGCCTCCCGGGCTGCGAGGAGTAGTTAGCGCCACCGTCGGCACTCGGGCCTCGGTGCGCACTCGCTAGCCGCCGGGGCGGCGAGTTTTCTGTGCTTCGGCCCCTCCTCCCTCCCTCCCCGCGGAGAGTCGAGCGGCAGCCCTAGAGCCTCTCCCAAGTCTCTCTCACACTTCCCCGCCCTCTCCCCAAAGGAGCAGCCGCTCCTTCTTGCCTCTCCACTGCCGCCGCCGCACCCGCGGAGCTCCTCTCCCGCGCGTCTCTCCTCCGATGGAGCTCGGGAGCCGCCGACGCCGCCGCTGCCCCGAGCCCTGAGTGGGGCCGCCCCGGCCGGAGGAACGCGCCGCCCCGCCCGAGGGCGCAGAGCGCGGAGGAGCACGCGGAGGGCTTGGGGCAAGGGCTCGGAGAACGAGAAAGTGCTGCTCCTCGGGTCACTGGGCCGGCGGCCGGGGGACTATGGCTCTGAAGGACACGGGCAGCGGCGGCAGCACCATCCTGCCCATTAGCGAGATGGTCTCCTCGTCCAGCTCGCCCGGCGCGTCGGCCGCTGCTGCCCCGGGGCCCTGCGCACCCTCGCCCTTCCCCGAAGTAGTGGAGCTGAACGTAGGCGGCCAGGTCTATGTGACCAAGCACTCGACGCTGCTCAGCGTCCCGGACAGCACTTTGGCCAGCATGTTCTCACCCTCTAGTCCCCGGGGCGGCGCCCGGCGCCGGGGCGAGCTGCCCAGGGACAGCCGGGCGCGCTTCTTCATCGACCGGGACGGCTTCCTCTTCAGGTACGTGCTGGATTATCTGCGGGACAAGCAGCTCGCGCTGCCGGAGCACTTCCCCGAGAAGGAGCGGCTCCTGCGCGAGGCCGAGTATTTCCAGCTCACCGACTTGGTCAAGCTGCTGTCGCCCAAGGTCACCAAGCAGAACTCGCTCAACGACGAGGGCTGCCAGAGCGACCTGGAGGACAACGTCTCGCAGGGCAGCAGCGACGCGTTGCTGGTGCGCGGGGCGGCGGCCGCCGTGCCCTCGGGCCCGGGAGCGCACGGTGGTGGCGGCGGCGGCGGCGGCAGCGCGCCGGACAAGCGCTCGGGCTTCCTCACGCTGGGCTACCGGGGCTCCTACACCACCGTGCGCGACAACCAGGCCGACGCCAAGTTCCGGCGCGTGGCGCGCATCATGGTGTGTGGGCGCATCGCGCTGGCCAAGGAGGTCTTCGGGGACACGCTCAACGAGAGCCGCGACCCCGACCGGCAGCCGGAGAAGTACACTTCCCGCTTCTACCTCAAGTTCACCTACTTGGAGCAGGCCTTCGATCGCCTGTCAGAGGCCGGCTTCCACATGGTGGCGTGTAACTCCTCGGGCACCGCCGCCTTCGTCAACCAGTACCGCGACGACAAGATCTGGAGCAGCTACACCGAGTACATTTTCTTCCGTAAGTTAGCAGCCCCGGCGTTTCTCAGCACCCCTCCCCCACCGCCGGTTCGAGGCCCGCTGGATCCCCAAAGGGGTGTCTGGGGCAGAAGCTGGTTAACACCTTAGAGTGAGCGGCTCTCCCGGCACAACTCCCTTAGGCAGTAGACCCGATTTACGTTTCTCCCCTTTGGATATTTCCGTCTCTACTTCCCCTTTCTAGAACTCAGTCGCACCCAGCTCCCAGGCGTCTACTTCCTGAACTTTTTTGATCTTGCTTTCTTGCCCCAGCCGGCTCCGGATGCCCGGGGGCTCCTCTGTTTCGGAGAACAGGGTAGGAGAGACTGGGGCACAGAGACCCTCCTCCACCTCTTTCGCAGGACTCCTGGGGGTCGTTTCACGTGGCCTTCAGTGGTGTCCCTGCAGAGGGCAGGATGGCATCACAAGGCGTTGCCCTCGCACCGCCTGGATCACCTGCTATTGGTACGGCTGCAGCGCTCCAGTTAGGGTGGTTTTCTAGGGGGTAGGGGAGAAGTGATGAAGGTACCTCCAGAGCCCCTCGAGGGGACGGGAGATCAGGAAAGCAGCTGTGGGGAAAGGGGACTCCTTGACAGATGGAAACCCAGATTTCCCAGCGTCATTTATCTCCAATGTGATTGTCCAGTGTTTGGGACAGGGAAGGGTGGAAGGAATTAGAAAGTTTGGGTGCCTTAGTGCTGCCCTTAGGGCTGGAGATTAGGACAGGGTGAGTGTGGAGGGAGGGAAGGAGGTGGGGAGGGAGGGGAAGACAGGGAGGGAATGGTTGTGTTTTCTTCTTGAGTGCGAAATCCAGGGCTGAGCCTACTTTCTCAGGGTAAATAAATAGAGTGATATTCTGAAATGAGAGCGTGAGGGAATAGATTTGGGAAAGCATCCGGGATGCGTTTTGCAGTGCGCTTCCGGAGCGGGGTACTTGGAGTTCAAGACTCTACCAAATATCACTATCTGAACCTGCACTGGGGGTTGGGGATGGGGTGGGGCTGTGGTGGGCACAATTCTCAGTGACATTTGTAAAGTGAAAAGGCAATGACTAGAGAGCGATTTGGACAAATGAAAAGCCAGCTGGGATGGCAGCAGGAACATTGTTTGGCAAAACGTTTTTCCTTTGGCCAGACACAAGTGAAAAACCTGCCTCTAGCGTTAGGGAGAGTAGCCTTGAAATCCTGTGATGAAAACAGACCAGCTTAAATTGTATTTATTTATTTTGGTAATTCAGTCACTACAGTAATTGGAAACTGAACAATTTTCTGGACTTTATTTTGACTGGAGAAGTGGAAGGGACCTGTCCTTGCACAGGTGCAAGCTTAACTGGAAGGTTGGCTTAATGTTTGTATATTCTGGTAACTTGGAGGTTGGGTGACAAACCACAGCACATAGATTCTTAGAGTTAGACTGCTTTGTAAAGTAGTGCTGGATTCTTGAGAAAACAGTTTCAACAGAGAAGCAAAAATGAAGTGTCTGTCCACTGAATTGGTAGTTAAAAACCTGTCAATTATATCAAAGTGTTACTTGTTACACAATAAAAAGATTAATGGTCAGAAAAGCCACCCAAGGGAAGATATTTTATTGCTTCTATAAAATTGACATCTCTCTAATATATATTGTGTAATTAAGTATTTTAGCACCATTCTTTACATTTTACTCCTTATCATTGTGACCTTTGTCAACAGCTTTTTAGATTTTAAACCATTTAATTCATTTCAATGTAGATTTCCAAGCCTGTCAGAAGATGAGGTAAAATGAACTTTTGGCTTTCTTGTAGTGTTTTTTGTTAGAGAAGATATCAGTATGAATGTTCTGCACAGTTAAGTTTGTGAAATTTTGAAACTCTTTCTTGGTTTTGGTCTTTCTTAATCCTCTAGAAAGATGTTGACACGAAAATGATTCTTACTTTGGTTATGAAGACATAATACAAGTTATCTCTACATTAGAAAAAAATGCCCTTAGTGTATCGAAACTGGAAACTTAACTAATTTAACTAATGAGATAATTTTGAGAGATATTTGAAATTCAGGATCTGTTTCACTTGTAGAGCTAGAGAAGTGTTAAATAAAATATTCATATTATGAATAACTACTTTCAGAGTACTCACATTATTAATGACCTCTGAAATTCATTCATAAAATTCCCAGAAATCTAAGGAGGCAACCTACTTTGGGAAAGAATATTCAATTCCAGATTAAATATTGTTTTTTTGAAGTGGTAAGCTAGTCATTGATCAACCAAATAGAGTTGTCATTTTAAATTTTGGATGTAAAACTTGTCTTGAATATTAGAATACATATATTTATTTTTTTTGCAGCTTTCATTATATTTTTTACACATTATTTTGAATGGGATTCCTTTTAATATTTGGTGAATGAAAATACACTGTAAAATATTTGTATTTCCATCCTATTTAGTTTAGTTAATGACAATGTATTTATCTTATTTCGCAAGTCTCTATTTAAAAAGGTTATTACTGTTATTCATAAGAGCAAAATTACTGGATGACCTTGTTTGTCCACTTATGTTTTAGATGCAGAAAATAACCTTAATATATTTTATTTCCCCTGTTGACACACTTTTTTTCAGAAAATACTTATTTGTTGTATGACATTTATTTAGTGTATGACAAGTATCAGTCATTTTAACATCTTTTAAAACCCGGGTTACATGTGATCTTAGTAGTTTGAAACTGTTGTAGTTTATACACCTGAGCATCAATTTTAATTCCTCCCAACCCCCACCATCCCTGCCACTCCTGAGTTTCTGCACTAGAGGGAAGAAAGTGGCAAATGGGTCAGTAATCCCAGACACTGCGATTTTCCAAATGAGTGACCTTGGTTAAATTATGTACTTGATCTCTTAGTTTCCTCATCCATATTATAGAAGTTATCACAGTACCAGTTTTATAGGATTTGAGAATAAATATAGTGCCGTATGTGACTTATAATAAAAAGCTTAACAAATGTTAGCTGTTACTACTGTAAGTAGCATTTTGCTATCCTTATTATTATTGTCAACATTAAATTTTAATTTTGTTTTATATTAAGTATAGCTAATTGTATAGTTAATAGAAAATCACTTTGCAATTAAGTGATAGCATACTATACTTTCAGAATTATGAAATAACCAATAAAATAATGGATTTCTTTCCTTGAATATTGAAATTGAATTTTTCAGGCCAAGTCACTGAAGGTTGCTATTCATACCCCAATTGGTTTTTCTGGATTGACTTCAACAGAACCCATTTCCTATTCAGGGCCAAGAAGTGTTTTAGCACTAGGACTTGAAACTTTGGCAGTATATTTTGATAAATACTGAGCTAGATTCATATCTCCTTAAATGCTTGTATCCAAGTCATTGGGTTCTTATGCTCAAGGTTATATACAGGCTATTAAACTTTAATATCAGCTTCATTTGGCTACATGAACACTTATATCTGTTCTCAGTCTTAACTCATTATTTGTCAGGTGTTTTTAGTACACTGCGACATATACTGGTACTATTAAATTCTATATTATTCAAACAGTGATTTATTGTGCTTTCTGCATTTGGGGGATGTCTAGTAAGTGTCATTGTGGCTACCTTCAGCAGTATCTGGGAGACAAAAAAAAAGACATTTTATGTTGGCAATGTATTATATAGAAAATAGATAACGTGCTTGGAATGTGACAGGTAGATTATCCTTAGATAAAAACTAGCTTTATATGTTTCCTTTGTTTCTCATAATCAGTGAGTTTGCAGAAAAAGTAATACTGATTTATTGCTCTTCTCTTCTAATAGTGCTTCAAGTTTTGAACTCCGTATTTTGGTTGAGCAATATATGTGTGAAAGTACACCCTTCTTTAGGTTGTACTTGATATTCTTTAAGTTTGGTGTATCTTTTTTATTGTTGTTGTTTGATGTATGAGAATGCCAGATCTAGGAATTAATGCTGTTACTGAACTGGGCTGTGAAACATAATTTGTCTTAATGGATTTTTATATCCATTATTTCAAATTCATTATGATTTATTTCACTGTGTTAGGTTGAAGAAAGCTAGTTGAGTTGAAAATACTCAAACAGCTATTCAATCCTGTGTTACCATGCTTGCTGAATTAAGAGCTTTCTAAGAAATATCTTTAAAAATCATTTTGTTTAGGCGCATACCATTACATGCATCTTTTATGAGTCTAAAATACTTCTTTGATTACCAAACATCATTTTATGGAAGTTAATTTTATTAACCACAATTTTAAAAGTTGATTATTTTTTCTCCCAAGTTACTACTTATTTTTACAACTACAATGTGAAAATGTTCTCTGCAGCCACATGGCTGAATGACTTTTGAGTTAGTGGGGAATAAGCAAAAGGAGAAGATAACTTTTTAGAACATCAAGTTTATGATTTAATGCATCTAGTTCTAGTAATAAAGCAGACAAAATGACAAAAATGTTGGAGAGCAAAAAGTTTAGAGGCTGTGCTATGGCACCAATTGTTGTTTAATGCCATCGAACTTTTATATCTGGCATAGTACTGTCTTTGAACTTACTGAGTTTTATATGGCTATGGCTTTGGCTTTTCCTGCCACAGCTTTGTGTGGGTCAATCTTTACACAGATAATGCGGCTGAGAAACTGAGTTGCTACAAGCTTTATTTGGTAAGGCTCTTTCTCTTGTAGCTTAGGATGCTAGTACTTACAATTTATGTGCATGTGTGTATGAGTGTGTGAGTATACCTTAAGAAGGAAAAAATCTCTTTGGAAAAAAGAGAAATATGTATAAAGCCAGTATTTAATTATTGTCTATTCTACTGTCATAAATTATCAGCTGGAATCTGTTTAAAAATGTGAAAGTTATTGCTTGTCATTTAAAAGTCACTCTTTTTATAGTTAATATTTTACATATAGTTACTGATACTCTATATTTTTTAAGTTGCTAAGAGAGTACATTTCAAATGTTCTCATTGCAAAAAATAAGATTAAGTAACTTTAAAATTATAAAAGTAGTACATGTAGTT